ATGAGGGCAATGAATGTACAAATGTGCTTTACACAATTGATGTATGTATGGATTGTGATAAGAGTCGTATGAGCCCCTAATAAAATGATTTTTTTTTAAAAAGCTGGTGGTTCACATCTTCCAGCCTCTCCATAAGAAAAATAAGAGTTGCCTACTTCTGCAAAGATTTACAATTTTGAAAAGTCTATGGGGCAGTTCGACTTTGTCTTCCATGGTAACTATGAGTTGGAATAAACTCCACAATACCGGATGTAGGTTTTGAAAAAGTAACTATCCCATCAAAAGCTACAAACAGTAAATGGGAGTTATAGTGCCTGTTAACAACCTGCAGTATGCAGATGAGGCAACCTTCTTACTGCAAGCAAGCGAGAATATGAAGCACCTGCAGATGAAGATCGGGAATTGTAGTATGGAATAAAACTCAATGTAAATCTTCACAAGTTAATCAGTAGGTCACATCATGATAAATGGGGGGGAAATTGGATTTGTAGAGAATTTCATGTTGCTTGGATCCCTAATCATTGCTCTTGGAAGCAGCAGTTGGGAGGTCAAATGACATTGAGTTGGATAAATCTGATGCACAAAAACTCTTAAGTGGTTGTAAAGGACAATTGTCACTTTGAGGACTAAGGTGCACATGACCCAAGTCATGATATTTTCAATTGAGACAGCTAGAGATTGAATAAGAAAGGCTGTAAAAGAATCGATTTGAATTATGGTGTTGGTGAAGGATATTGAAAGTAAAATAAACTGCCAAAAGAACAAACAAATCTGTCGTGGAAGAAGTACAGCTAGAATGCTCCTTAATGGCAAGCATGGCGACACTTCATCTCAAATACTTTGGACATGTGGTCACGAGACACCAGCCCGTGGAGAAGGCCGCCATGTTTGATAAAGTAGAGGGCAGAGAAAAGGTGAGATGGATTGACACCGTGGCTGAAACAATGGGCGCAAACGTAAGAACAAATAGGGTGGTGCCGGACCAGCAGTGTTTCTCTCTGCTACACATGGGTTGCCGTGTTTCAGAACCAACTTGATGGCACGTAACAATAAATGTGTTTGACCCTACATCAAAGAAGCCTACGTTTTATATCTAATAAACTAAAGGAATATTTTTGTGAAAAAATGTTCCCCATTTTAATCAAGTATATGAGGGATCTTCAAATACTTCATGGAAAAATGGAATGCATTGTGGTCTTCTGAAACCCGCTCTTATTGAAAATCTCTCATCTGAAACCTCACTTAAAGCTCCCTACACTTCAGTGAAGGAATTACCAAAGAAAAGGTGAAATGCTGAGCTTCAAATTTGATTAAGCATACCCTGATTTTTAAAATGTCTTTAGTTCATAGAACTGAAACATTTCGTACATTTATTAGAAGTCATAGTAAATCAGAATTTGCAGCTTTTGCCTGCTAATTTCCATAGTCTAATATTGTGGAAAAGTGAAAAGTTTATCAGAGTAGAGTAGATAGATTCTAAACTAAGAAGCTTTGTTGCATTTCCAAATGTGTGGATGATGTTTCGAAAGACACTGTGTTAGACCATGTTGACTAGAGAAACAAATCCAGAGACACTCAAACATATATGAGAGAGCTTTATATTAAAGAGTATCTTATATCCTCATGTGTAAGCCTAGTTTTTTAGCACATTTTTATGCATTTTTTGTGGTAAAATTAGGTGCCTTGGCTTATATTTGGGTCGGATTATACTCGAGTATATGCAGTAATTGTTTATTGAGAAACCATCCCTGCCCAGTCCAGATCAAGTCCATAAATCTGATACTAATCCATAAATCTCTCTTCGGACTCACACATCCGCATGCAGTGCTGCAGAATGCAGGAAGATCACAGGTGGGTGGGTAAAAAGTCTTGAGGATCCAATGGCAGTGGAAACATCACAGGGTTGGCACAGGTCTACACAGCATGGCTTCACATGGCTTGTCAGTAGGAAGGTGAAGCAGGTCTCGGCAAATCTCTGTGTGGTTTGTCACCAGGAAGGACAAAGGCAGAGAGTGAACAAGAGAGAACGGTCTCCACAAGGAGGCATCATCAGCCTGTGACCTGATTGACAGACTAGCCTCCACTCCTACACTTATTTATCAAGTTGACATGAAATTATATAATCACCACATATATATATACATACATCCGATATGGATATATATGTATGTAAGTAATGATATCTAACACCCACTACCATTCCAGTCCGCAATACGATGAAAATCTTCATTTCTTGATCATTTATATTTTAAAATTAACTATGACTGTAAGCATATTGTTTTTAGGTATGTGCATTTAGGAAAGATTGTGTTTTTCACATAAACATGGCTGATTCTATATATATGCTATATGCTCTTTTTTAATGTTCCATCTAGAAATTGATATTGAACGCTGTGTGCGGGAATCGATCAGCCTGTTCTGTTGGACCCCTAAAAGTGCCACTTACAGACAACACGCACAGCCTCCCAAGCCACCCCCCGAAAGTGGGGTCCGAAGCTCCACACCTTACTTCACTGACTGTCCAGAGCCGCCAAAGACAGAGCTGGTATGTAGTTGGCAATTTTGTTTACAAACTGCAAAATAAGATGGACAGAAAATTTAATACATTCTTGGATCATTATTGCTAGTCATGTTATCATTCATGCCATCTTAAATGGCTATTTCAAGCATGAAAATATGTGTGTTCATGCAAATATTTCAGAAAACTTGTATATCTATTTGGTTATATAATTTGGGAAATTTGCCTGACATACTTATCCAAATAACAAAGCACTTTTTGTGTATCTATTTGTTCATATAGTAGGAATGTGCACTTATTTTCTGTTAGTTGAAAAAAGAAATAGCATTTTGCAAAACTATGCAGTACAAGTTTTACAACATTGTCATTCTTTGCACACATAGTAGCTTTATACTTAAAGCTTTGGTCAAACTTTCCATTGTGATACTTTATATACATAAAGCTTTCTAATGTTACCACAAATATCTTAATTGCTTCCCTGAAATTGTATTCGATTAATAGGGAGAGGAGGTTTTTGAGATTCCTTAGTGAATGTAGTAAGATATATTTTTTTAAAGATCATTTTATTGGGGGCTCGTACAACTCTTATCACAATCCATACATATATCCATTGTGTCAAGCACTTTGATCATTAGTTTCCCTCATCCT